GTCGCGCTGCCCGCGCTGTTGCCCCAGAGTCTCGCTCCCGCCGGAGGAGGCCAGTGGAGACAGCGGCGGCCCTGCCTGGCCTCCGTTTGGTTCCCTTCTGCTTGTCCTTCCTGGAGGCTCCTCGTCGCCACGGCTGGATCCGCTTCGAACATCGGGTCAGAATGGCCCCCCGGGTGGACAGGTTTTGAGCGGATCTGGGCCGTGTGGGAGGCCTGTCGGTGTCTCAGCTGGCCTTTCTCCGATTGGCAGCGGATCGCTGGTTGGCCAGCTGCTTGGTTCGTTGGGTGGCGGGTTGACTGGCCTAGGGCCTGTGGAGTGGCGTTCTCGTCACTGGTGAGTTGGTTGTCTGGCTGGCTGGTTGCCGGTTGGCTTGCTGGCTGGTTGGCAGGTCGGCTGGCTAGTTGGTTGCGGTCTTGGCCTCGTCCTCCTCTTCCTCCTCCTCTTCCTCCTCTTCCTGCTCGCCCCTTCCTCCTTCCAGTAAGGCATATGGGCTGCTGCACAGTCTTGTTGCATCTCGTGGCCACTGGCAACCTCGTGGTTCCTCCCTCCTTCCCACCGTGGCATTGAGCCATCTCCCAGCAACCCATATCTGTTGTCGCCTCCTTCCCCTGCCCGCCTTCCTCCTTCCTCCTCTCTCCTCGCGAGGTCGGGGCTCGGCGCTTACTAGACAGCGAGGGCCTTACCCTTCCCTCGTGAATGGCTGGCCGGTGCTACTGACGGAGACATCCCTCAAGGTATTGTGTGCGACATGGCGTGTGTCTTTGCAGGTGCTGTATGGGGTCTGATCCGTTGCTGCCCTGGCGGCTCTTCTGAGCAGCGGAGAAGTCTGTTCCTGATGAGCTGGCTTAAGCGATGTTTTACTTGAGCCACACTGGCTGCGGGCGGGGGGAGCGATGCGGACGGGAGGAACGACGAGGAGGGAGAAGAGGAGCGAGGAGCGAGGAGCGAGGAGCGAGGAGCGAGGAGGAGGAGGAGGAGGAGGAGGAGGAGGAGGAGGAGGAGGAGGAGGAGGAGGAGGAGGAGGAGGAGGAGGAGGAGGAGGAGAGGGAGGAGGAGGAGGAGGAGGAGGAGGAGGAAGAGGGTGGTGGTGGTGGTGGAGGAGTAGCGAGAAGGAGCGAGGAGGACGAGGAGCGAGGAGGAGCAAGGAGGAGGACGAGGAGGCAGCAGGGCGAAGTGGACGGGAGGAGCAAGGAGGCTGGGAGGGGCGAGGAGGAGGGAGCCCACAGATTCAGGCGGGGCCCGCTGCCCCGCGGGCGGCCAACGGCCACGAGTGCGGGGCCGAGGCGCCGGACGGGCAGAAGGGCCACGAGGGGGGGGGAGGGGAAAGCATGGGCGGAGGAGGTAGGACGCGCAGGGGGAGGGGGAGGGAATGATGATGATGATGATGATGATGATGATGATGATGATGATGATGATGATGATGACGACGCTGACGCTGATGCTTATGCTGATGCTGATGCTGATGCTGATGCTGCTGATGATGATGATGGTGATGGTGATGGTGATGGTGGTGATGATGATGATGATGATGATGATGATGATGATGATGATGATGATAGTGATGATGATGTTGATGATGACGATGACGATGGTGATGATGATGACGCTGATGCTGATGCTGATGATGGTGATGATTGGTGATGATGATGATTGAATGATGATGATGGTGATGATGATGATGGTGGTGGTGGTGGTGATGATGATGTTGTTGATGATGATTATGATGATGGTGATGATGATGGTGACGATGATGTTTATACGGATGATGGTGATGATGATGATGGTGATGATTTTTCTGATGATGATGATGCTGATGATGGTGATGCTGATGATGATGAGGAGGAGGAGGAGGAGGAGGAGAAGGAGGAGGAGGAGGGTTCGAGCAGATTCGAGCCATACCGGCCAGTGGCACGCCGCACGCTGCTTACCAACCAGCGATCCTGGCAGACGCATCGGGTCGTCCCCGCAGCAGACCTGACAGGAATGAATGTGCGCGCACGAACTGGTCTCTGCATTGTAGCATCTGAACTCGTCCGTCCCCCTGCGGCAACAGAGCCTGCTGCCACTGCCTGCGTTATCGCACGACCCGATCCCCGCACTGTAGCTGAGAACCTGTTCCACGGTCCCACGAGCACCTGCTCGCACGAGCTGGACCCTGCACTGTAGCTCAGATGTTTCTCGCACGAGCTTTCGCTTGCCTGCCTCCGCACACAAGCTGGCCCCAGCACCGTAGCTGGTGAGAGGAGGATGCCGATGGCCTTGCGCACAAGGCCTAGCTGAGAAATGTGGGCTCCAGCTCCCCCAACATAATCTTGAACAGCGACAGACATGCTGCGACTGCCCTCTCCCCACTCCTGCAGCCACTGCTTGTCCTCCTTGTGCGCCTTGGCGTTCTCGCACAGCCAGTCCCCAGCATTGTAGCCGATGACGTCTGCATCGCTGTGGTTTGCGAAGCTGCGCTCCAGCTTCGCCTCCCACCTCTCGCAGAGTAGTGTCGGAGCCGCCTGTTGTTCGGCCTGTTCGCCCACCCTGATCCCAGCGCTGTAGCTGATAGCATCGGGCTCTAGCTTCGCCTCCCAGTGGTCGTTTGGTAGCGGTTTAGCTTGCTGCCGCTACCCACCATGCTCCCACGCGCTGGGCCCAGCGCTGTTTTGCACGAGCGAGGTCCCGCTTCTCGCAGAGTGGTGTCGGAACCAACTGCTGCTGCTCGCCTTTCTCGCGTGCCCCGATCCCAGCGCTGTAGCCGATGACATCTGGCTCCAGCTTTGCCTTCCAACTCTCTCGCTGAGCGGCGGCAGAGCCCGCAGCCGCTGCTCGCCCGTCTCGCATACGCTGCAACCAGCGCTGGTTCTGACAAGCCATGGGTGGACCCAAACGGTGTTTGTGCGATTCCGTGGGCCGCTGTCGTTTCGACGCCGTCTTACGGCACAGGCGGATCGAGGACAAAACGAGGGCAACCGAGAACAAAACGAAAACGAAAGACACCGTTTGGGTTCAGCCCTGTGACGAGCTGTGGCTCCGGCTTCGCCACCCGCCTCTCGCAGGACCGTGCCGGAGCCGCCCGCCGCCCGCCGCCCGCCGTTCTCGCTCTGCCCCGGCCCCGGCGCTGGCGCTGCCGACGTCGGGCTCACCGGGCTCGCCTGCCGCCTCTCGCGGCGTGGCGCCAGAGCTGCCTGCCGCTGCTCGCCGCTCTCGCGTGCAGCACGATCGCCCGCCGCCACCGCCTGCCTGCTCGCACGATCAGTCAGATCTGTCAGATCGTGCGAGGCGAGCAGCGGCAGGGCAGGGATCAGATTCTGATCCCTGCCCTGTCGCCGAGGTGTGCCTCGCGCGATCCCCTGCAGCAGCAGAGCCTGCTGCCACTGCCTGCCTCCTCGCACGACCCGGTCTCCGCACCGTAGGTGGGAACCTGTCCCGCGAGCACCTTCTCGCACGAGCTGGTCCCTGGACTGTAACTGAGATGTGTCTCGCACGACCCGCACCTTGTGCAGCAGCAGAATCCACTGCCACTGCCTGCCTTCTCGCACGGTCGCCTGAGCCAATCTCTGCTTTGTAGCTGATGACATGAGGCTCGAGCTTCGTCGCTGGCGTTGCCTGGTCGCCGCTGTGGACGTTGGGCTCCGCCTCGTCCGTTGACTTCTCCTGTGTCGCTCACGAAGTAGGTGCACGTGAACGAGAGGCGATCCCCGGTGGCAGTCCGGAGTTCCCCGTGGAGGGTGACCAGCACGGAATTCCCTTCATTGATGCCGGGCGAGAGGGGAAAAGCACGGGGAGACGGAGGGGGAAGGGCAAGAAGATGGAGTACCATCTGCGACTGCATACTCTGGTGGGGCCAATTCCCAGCGTCGCAGCTGGTAACGTTGGGCACCATCCTTGACGGTTCGCGTCAGCATTGCCATTCATATGTTGGCCGACGCAGCTCGGGTCCCCTTCCCGAGAGAAATGGCTGAGGAGGAGGAGGAGAAGCAGGAGGATGAGAAGACGGAGGAGGAAACGGCGGAGGAGACGGAGGAGGAGACGGAGAATGAGGAGGAGGAGGGAGAGGGAAGGAGTGGGGGGCAGGTAGGAGGCAGGTGAGGGGTAGGTCGAAGAGGGAGGCGGAGGAGGAGAAAGGGGAAGGGGAGGAGAAGAAGGGAAGAGGTTAGGAGGAGAAGAATGAAGAGGAGAATGATGAGGAGGAGGAGGAGAAAAGGAGAAGGAGGAGGAGGAGGAGGAGGAGGAGGAGGAGAAGGAGAAGGAGGAGGAGGAGGAGGAGGAGGAGGGGCCACGAGGGGGCGCAGGAGGGACTAGGCGAAAGGGAGACGTGGAGGAGGGAACACGGGTGGGAGGAGGAGGACGACGAGGAGGAGGAGGAGGAGGAGGAGGTAAGGAAGGGAGGAGGTGGTGGAGGAGCGAGGGGGAGGGGGATGAGTTGAGATCCACGAAGGGGAGGAGGGAGAGGAGGGATCAGGGCGACGGGGGACGCTACAAAGCGGGGACGATTGGGCAGGGCGGCCCATCCCCGCCCTCCCAGGAGGGAGGAGAGGAGGGGGGTGAGGAGGAGGAGTAGGAGGAGGAGGAGAAGGAGGAGGAGGAGGAGGAGAAGCAGGATAAGGAAAAGGGGGAGAGGAGAACCATAGTAAATCTAATATGGTATTTCTGCTTGAATGCTGTGGCCGCCGTCGCCGCCCCGTCGCCGCCCCGTCACCGACCGCCGTCTGGGCCTGTTTGCCGGTCTGGGGGGCTATGTTGCCGCTGTGGCCGCCCCGTCGCCGCCTCAGAGATTACACAACTTACATGTGTAGATTGTACATCGTAGCTTGTAGAACATCGGTTGCACATCATGTATTGCACAACGCGGGTTGCACAATTTTGCACCACAGAGATTGCACCACCTATATCGTCTACAGTGTAGCCCCTTGCACCCCTACGTGGCGCCCGCACCGCCATCTCGCGTGGGAATTCGAAGCAGCAGCTGGCACATGAGCTTCGTGTCATATGGATGATCCTCCTGTGAGAATTTCATCCCTTGCGCCGCTGCAGCTCCGCTGCCGTTTCCGCTCAGGCCGTGTACATCCGAAAGCGCAGCTCGGCAGTTAATTCTGCACATTTGAATTAGTTGGTCCTGCGCCAGCCATGGACGGGTGCGACTTCTGGAGCGGGGTCTGTCCATGCTGTGGTCAGAGGTGCTTCTCTCGGCAGACCTTCACTGGGGCGAATTCCCAGACATTCCAACCTGGTTTCACCATGACTGTGATATCCAATACAGATTGGAATGGAATTGGCGAAAGCGACGTTGCGCGCCAGAGTACGTCTGGTATTCCGCGCGGCTATGTTCCTCATCAGCCTGGTGAGTTTGTAGCTTTCGGGGCGTTCTTCATCTGTGCATGTTGCCATGAATGTCTGTTTCCCGTCTTCCATCTGGACTCAGCGGGTCAAGTAACACTCCTTTGCTACAAGATCCACCGAGGGCTCAGAACTCACATGGGCGAGGACGTCCGTCGTCGTCACGGGTTATATATTCGCTTCGCTCATTCCGCTGGCCCACATCGCATCACCGGTGCTACGTGTGGCTGTGCTCGTGGCGAGCGAGTAGGAGGAGGAGGAGGAGGAGGAGAATGAGGAGGAGGAGAAGGAGGAGGAGGAGGAGGAGGAGGAGGAGGGAGGAGGAGAGGGTGGGGATGAGGACTCTCGATGGCTTCTTGGGGCATTCTTAGGGTTGTGCTTCGTCTGGCCTGTAAACTCGTGGAAACCACCCAAACCCCAAATCATAGAAAAAGCATGGTTGAAACATATGATGCCACTACGTAAAAAAGACACTCACGATTCGGCAGACGTGGCCCCATCAATTAAATGATCACGTGTATGAAATATGAGAGCTCCATGCGTTTCTTATTCAGGATGCAGAGTGTTTGTGTTTCGACCCCGATCCTACGGTCAGTAGCGCACACGCGCGCAAAACATGACTCTGAACGCCACTTGCCAGGACTGGTGCCTCGCCACTGCTCTAAAATTTAGGGCGGGCTGGGTGTTTCGCTTGAGACTTCTTCTGTCGAATCTGTCCCGCCACCTGCCAGGAACGTGCAAGACTCGAATTGCGGTGTCATCGAATGGCCACGCACTCTGTTCCTTCGACCCCTTCCTCCCGCCTCTCGTCATCCTCCTAGTTCCCGCCTGGGTTTCGACCCGAACGCAGCGTCCAACAAGCAACCGCACCCTGCCCCCTTGCAGCAGTTCGGGGGGAGAATCACCCAGTCCCGTGTGCGACTGGAAAGTGGAGGGGCGGGGAGAGCGGCGAGGGAAAGGGAGAGGAGGTGTGGACGAGAGGGAGAGAGGGGAAGGGCTGGAGGGAGGGAGGCCCAAGGGAAGGGGAGGAAGGGGCAAGAAGGAAAGCACGAGAACGGGATCCGTAACCAGTCTGGCTCAAAGCCATAGCCGTGTTTCTTCCCGACGGTTTTCGTCTAGAGGAATGAAGCTGTTCACTGCGAGTTTTGTGGTGATGATCGGCTGGGCCGCCTTGAGTTCTGAGCGCCAAGCTGGTGAGTCCAGTTCGGGTTCGCCCGATGTCCCTGCTCACTGGGCGGACCTGGCCGATCAACGAGAGGAGGGCCAGGGCATCAGCGGCACCGAGAGTTCGTGGCACGCTTCTTCTGTCGAGCAGGGTCCCCAGGGCGACGGCGCCAGTGATCACCTCGAGGCGGAGATGGCCGACGGTGATGGCGCCATAGTTCCGTATGTGCCGCGCAGTGAGGACGTTCAGATGGCCCACGCTGCCCCCCATGCTCTTTTGCCACGGCGGCGAACACTCAGACCCAAAGAAGTCATGCAACCGTTGCTCAGTTTTTTGGAGGCGAACGATTACGACATGCAGGAATTATCTGGTGATCGACAGGCCCTTGTTTTAGCTGCCCTCCCACCCGAGCAACTGACAGACAATGAGCGTTCCACATATATGATGAGCGTCTACACTCGGGCACTTCGTGTATCTGGTCACATTCTTCCCAAAGCAATTGATTGCGTGGCAAGAGTGCACGAGTCACACAACGAACGCACATATATATTCCCAACGACGCAGCACAATGTGGCGGAAGATTTGTTCAAGCGGAAGCACGTGACCTCTCATTCTGCAGGTGCCAGGGCGCATAGTGTGTCTGTGGACATGTACCCAATTATTCAGAGACGTGTCGCTACAGCAGCCGTGATTGTGGAACGGCGCGATGCGATCAACATGATCAAGCAAGTATGTGAAGCTGTCAAGTCCACAGGCGGTCGTTGTATATACTTGGTCGAGCACCCACGGTACGACGAGACGCCCATGCCTGTCAAGATCAAGGAGTCTCTCATTGCACAGCAGTCTCACGCCAGGGCGTACCAAGCTGTTGAAGACATCGAGATCGAACCTCTGCCGCTGGCTGGACGCACTCAGCACCAGACCGCCCCAACAAAGTTGTTGAACACAGAGTGGAAATATGGAGTTCTGGTTTATAACAAGGGTTTGTACACGTCGATTTGTTTTAAAACAACGCAGTGGCTGCAATGTTTGTCTAGAACAACAGGTGAGGTTTACGCTGATGCCATTGAAATGTCCAAGTTTCCGCTCCACGAAGTAGATCACTTCTTTGAGTATACGTGCAGGGTTGCTACAAATGATGCCGACAAAGCTGTTGCGAAAGCAGAACGTGCCATCGCAAACGTAGGATATCGCCACCATTATTTTGCTTTCAAGTGTCAGTTACACAGGGCGGCCGCCATGAGAGAGCACATCCTTAAACATATGTCTTCTGATATTACGACGTCCATGGTATCTTGTGTATTGAGCATGCGCATGCAAGGTTCCCTGAACACATTCCGCGCAGCTATGAGAGACGTGCTCGCCAGCCACGGCTTTTTCACTTTCAACACAGACAGGCTGCAGGACCGCACTTCCAGAGATGACATCATATCTGTTTTGGACGTATTCCTGCCCAGATCGATCAAACAGAATATACGGAGGCGGGATGTCATTCTTAGTTTGGTGCATTCCGTTGGTGATGGGTTGGCGCATTATGAGCGGTCGTGCCAGTGCTGTAAATCAGAAAATCAATGCCGCAACCGGATGAAGTCATCATTTGCGTTCGCTCTGGTGCCCTGTATACCGAAGTCCTTCCCAGGCAGAAATTGGATCAAGAACGAGGATGCGTTTGACACAGTTGGGCTGCTTCATTTCTTCGGCCTCCTCAAACCAACATACATACGATTCTGCCGCGCTTACGGCGCCAAGATCCCCATCGATCCGACCCGCGTGTTGCCCAAGCACTACGAGGGCGACGGCGGCTTCGAGGGCGGCGTCGCGTTTGGCGGCGCCGACAAGGGCCCCGACGAGGTGCGCAAGTGAAGGAAAAAACAACATCAATCCTGCAAGTGGCCCTGAAACCACATAAACAAACTGAACATATGGGGGTCGGCTGGGACTGCGGGCGGGCCGTCTGTTCCCAGGGGGCCTTCTGGGACTGCGCGTGGACCGTCGGCTCCCACGGGGGTCGGCTGGGACTGTGCGCGGATACGTCGGCTCTCAAAGAGTCGACTGGGGCTGCGTGCGGGACCGTCGGCTCCCATGGGGGTCGGTTGGGACTGTGCGCGGGGCCGTCGGCTCCCAGGGGGTGGGCTGGGGCTGCGCGCAGACCGTCGGCTCCCATATGGCACAACGTGAGCATGCCTACATCAATTAAATGGGGGAGCCCTTTTAATACATCATTGCTCAACAACCGTGTGTCAGTCACTCAATGTCTTCTTACCCCCCCGCCCCTTTTACCCGCCCTCCCCCTCTCCCCCTCGCCCCTTCCTGCCTTGCCCCCTGCCTTCTCACTGCCGCCCTCCGCCTCGCCTGCATCATCGCACACGTCCTCCTCCGTGTCCTCCTCCTTGCGTCCCCCGCCCTCCTCTTTTTTTGTTTGCGAGGTGGTAGCGGAACCTGTGATCCCAGCGTGGGCGACTTGCAGGATTGATGTTGGGTCGCGGATGCTGTTTCCGTTGGCCACCAGGCAGACTACAATGACACCAGACAAGTGCAAGACGCCCGTCGCAAACACACCCTCAAGATGTGCTACCATCCATCACTGCTGGCCGAAGTTGTCACAACCAGAACACTCATCGAGCCGCGCCGTGTGCACGTCCAACAGCTGTTGTATTTCGGAGGCGAACAATTTGAATTGAGGCAGCGGGCCCACGAGGCATCCGCCCTCAGCAGCGGCGCCACAGGCGCTGGGCTGAGGCACCACAGAGTCACTGTAGCAACGTCGTGTGTTCTTGAGGATGAGTTCTTGTCCAGCACGCGTGACATCATGACAAACAGCGATCGACACAGAGCAGTACCACAGCACAGCAGAACTGAACGCTTGAGGACGGAATGGCTTTGCAAGTTGGTGCACAGCGCATGTGGTATTAACGAGATGAAGCACGACTACAAACGATATCCTATGAAACTGTTTTGTGCCCTTTCTGATCCAGGTTTATTGGAGAGAATGTCGAAAGAACCGCAGTGTGTGATGGATAGATGCTCAAGGCAATTGTTGACGCTTCGCGTGCCCCCACCAGCCCATCCACTAACGATGTCCAGTGGGCTCGAGGTTACCAGGGAAGTGGTTTAACATGCATGAGAACAAGGGGCGGGGGAAATCGCCATGTACACCAAAGGGGGAAGATGGATGATGGATCGTCGTCGCCGCCGGAGGAGGAGGAGGAGGGGGAGGAAGACGGGGAGGATGAGGAGGAGGATGAGGTGGGGTAAGGCAAGGACGAGGAGGACGAGGAGGAGGAGGAGAGGGATGAAAAGGATGTAGAATTGGGTACATCGGTGATCCTTTTGGGGCCTCGTACGGGGTCTCTTGGGGGCCTCTTGGGGGCCTCTTGGGGGCCTATTGGGGCAGTTTGGGCGCCTCTTGGGGCCCCCGCGGTGCGCTCTCTGGCGCTTTAGGGGCGATTATGGGGCCATCTTGGAGGACCTGGAGCAAACGAGAGGAAAACTGGACTTAGCGCACCCCCTCGGGGGCCACCAACATTGTCTATTTGCGCCCTCTGGGAGCGCTATTGGGGCGCTCTTGGGCGTTCCTGGGGCCGTTTTGGGGTTCTCTTGGGCTTCTTTCGGGGCACTGTTGGGCCATCTTGGAGCCGTCTTGAGGCCTCGGGAGGCTATCGAAAGGGAAGGGGCGACTATGCAAACATCGCTGTTTTTTCTTCGGTGTTGGAAGGCGTCTCGCTTCTTGGGGGCCTCCTTGGAGGTTTCGGAGGCGTCGTGGGGCCGTTTTGGAGCGTTCTTGGGGCCTCTTGGGGCATCTTGGGGGCCGACTTGGGGCATCTTGGACTATATTGAGCCATTGTGGGGTCATGTTTGTTGGCATTATGAGGCCCTTTTGGTGCCATATGTTAAGAAAACGTACCCTCAGACACCTCGCGGTGCGCCCCGTCCAGACCCAAGGGAGGGGGTACGGGGGGAGGGGTAAACCTCTCCCCAAACGGGAAGAATGGGGGTTGGAAGGAGAAGTTCGC